GCTCTCATCGGATCGTTCTAATAACGAATAAGAACAAGACATGCGAGTAACAATACATAGGTGGGCAATATAATGACATCTATCTTCTCAATACTTTCTTCATATAACCTACAAGTATATGTATAGTTTATAAATACAAGTATCGTAGAGTAGAAGATGACACTGAAGTTCCAGGAAAGACTTATGGTAAATTTATAACAAGTGATTGTCTATCAACCTACAGGCAATTTTAAAATCGCCATCAAACGTCAGTTTTGGAACATGTCGTATTCACCAAACACCAAGAGTTATTTAACGGTCGGGATAATCAGCGTTATTCACGATTAGAAACCCAAAACTAAGTCCTTCCTAGGGATTACTAAATCACATATAATGTTTGGATATATAACATTTGGGAATGGAATAATAGCTATTGTCTATATTGATTTACATCACACAGTTGGTTCATCATAGATCATGTAATCGAAAAAGTGTCGGTTAACCTATKAAAACCTACATTTTTTACTCAGGAAAAAATTATAAAAATGAATGTTAACTTTTTGCTAATTTATACAGAAGTCTTCAATTATACGAGGGATTATTTCCGTTATTAAAGATTTTTGATTAAGCTATATACTAGACAACTTAGAGGGACTGCACGAATCTGGTCTCTGACCTTATATATTAGATTTTAGATTCGGATAATATTTCACATTCGGTTGGTGCCGATACAACGTTAAAATTAAAAATAAGTTTTTGGGTGGAAATAACAATCGTGTACATTATTTTGGTGATTGTTAAATAGATGATTCACGCAAAATGTGTGCTGAAATAATTTATTTCTATTGTAAACATTTTGGTTTTTTCTCGGTTCTTGCAAAACTTTTTTTGCACCTCCCGTTGCTTTTTGTGATTCAGGCGACACTCATGCTGAGAAATTGTGACATTTATAATAATTATGTAAATTTATGATAAATCATAGATAAAAAAATTTAAAAAAATCAATGGTTTTGAATGAACGCTGGCATAGCATACGTTCCCTATCTATTTCTATATTTTTATTTGACTACGTATAGGAAACAATTTGCAAATGTATAAAAATTATTTCCATTATTCCTTAACATAATTTTAAAATAAATTGGTTTTATGAAGGCCAACTTTGCATGCTATTTTTATGTAATTTTTTTGTATTTAGTTGATCTAATTTTTCAACCAAAGACTTCTTTCCTGAAAGTAGAAAGACATTTCAAGAATTTTTTTGCTCTTTAAAAAAAATTGTCACGCAAGAAACACATATTTTTAAAACCAATGGTAGCTTTATCTCATTAAACATAGTGATAAAAATCTAAATACTTAATAATAGTTTAATCTTATATTATTAATATTATCTTCAGAACGTTTTTGTTAAAAAACATAATAATTTTTAAATGACTAATTCTTAAGATAATCGAACAAGTTTYTCCTTCAATTTATTTGTTACATAATTTAGGCATATCCAATAGTTGAATAATTAGTAATATGTGAATTTTTTATTTCTTGAGCTTTATTAAAATTCAAAATTTTATATTTTAGGAACTGCTTACAAGATTTGCAATAAAAATGCCACATGGTTCAAGCACCCAATATCGCGTGCAGTCTGGTCCAACTACACAACTTGTATAAACCACGAAGATTACAATGTAAGTATATAACTTATATACATACATTTAGTATATACAATACCATAATTTTTACAGATTTAAGTATTTATTTATACTATTATTTACAATGTATATAACATTATATAGGGTAAAATATGAGGGTAATATGAGGCGTAGATATGCAACATT